AGGGATCTCTAAAGAAAGGTCTTGGTCTGTAGATGAGCCATCAAAAGAGGAACGAGGTAAATTCCCTTGGGGATCTGCCCCAGAAGCCTTTAAAGTTGCCTCTTCAGATTTGTTTACATTACGACCATATGCATAATTCTACACTACTTTTTAATGAAACAGCTGTTAATATTTAAATTGTGATTTATTGAATTTGTCTAAATGAAGTACAATGTGGTTTTTTAATACATAGAGGATACGCGTCCGGTAACCGGACGTGGATAAGGCGTACGGCAATGACGTCATGGGGTTGCGGGAGCCTGGAACGGCTTTACCACAACAATACAACGTTCAGCCATCGGTGGTCGTGGTGTAGTGGATAAGGTGCTCGGCTGATATGCAAGAGGTCCAGGGTTCGAATCTCATTGATGACCTTAACTTTTTGTCGAAGAGTTTGCATTGAATACCATTTATTCTTAACTGTACATCTTTTATTAGAATTTTTGGCATTTATAATTTTTTTATAGAGAAAGAATTTAACCTTAATTAGATTTTTTCATTATCAGCAAGTTTGGTTGGTTAGGTTAGGTTATGACAGTAATTGCCGGACGTCTAATCCACGTACGGTTACCGGACGTGTATCCTCTGCCTTTTTAATATCACAGCAACTCTTAAAATTATTTCTTTTGGAGTTAACTTATATCTATTGTATGGGTTGGTTTCTGCCTTTTTTGCCACTTTTTGGAGATTGTATGTAGGTGATATTCGTTGGCATATTGCATCTGCAGACGAAACTTGGGTTGGTGTAATTATTAGAATGGAAAAGGGCGAGAAATCCTGGACAATTTTGATATAGGCTAAAAATAAAACTGAATTAACACTGTAATACATTTCTTGAGCTATCATTGAAATAACAGATTTGCAAACAATGGAAACATAGAAAAAGTCATAGAACACAACCAAGTAGAAGAAATAGAAATAATGTTTTTTTTTCATTTATAATCGTTATCATAGACAACCTAATGCGGCTATGTCAAGGGAAATTTTTTAGAAAACACTAAAAACACAAGATCAGCTTTTTGAAAAAAGATAAGATAGTCCTATTTACAAAAGATTTTGATTATATCCAACTGTTGTGGAGATTGTGAGTATTTCCATAATCTTTGAGTCCCCTGTAATGCTTCGCAATTGCTCGAATTCGAGCAACAGGTACACTAGTATATATTATTCAAAGATATTTACATTACTAAAAGATAGTCTGTTTATCTAATCTAACCTAACCTAACCTAACTTAACCTAACCTAACCTAACCTAACCTAACCTAACCCAACCAAACACATCACTATTTACTAAAACACTACAATATATACACACAATTATTTATAGTCAGCGTCCTCCTCCTCAGGTACCTGTGGAGACCCGGGCTCTTTCCATGCTTAAGATTAGTGAACCTTTTTGGGGATTAAAATTTCGGGCTCTTTTCATGTGCTCCGTGTATTACGTAGTTGTTGTTTTGTTAAGCAGACTAAAATTTGTAGTAAGATGTATTTTTTTATAATTTTGGAATTTATATTATGACCTTGAGGAGGGGGTGCTGTGACCTTTACAACCACTGCTTATCTATAGCATTCATTTCATCCTCGTTTATATCTTTATGTGACGTGTTTTCAGGTTGTCCAATTTAGTAAGTTTTGAGAAGCTACAAACTCGGTCAGTCGAGCTATTACAGTAACGGTTCCAGGATTTCATTTCGGGGGGGGGGTGACCACCGGTGGGTCAGGGGGTATGGAGTATACCCCAGCGGAAAAATGTGAATCTATATGCTCAAGCTAATAGTTTTTATGTTTAGCTAAATAAAATATGAAATATTTCGGGGGTGGGTCCCTCCCATCCCCTCCCTTGGTACCACCACTGAGTTATTACGATCGAGTATCAATGGTTTTGTATTTTAAATTAAAAATAACGTTTATCAAAATTGTACATAAATTAGGTGTGAGTATTTTATGCTTGAAAAACTCTATATTCCATCTGAAATTTGCCAGTATCGAAAAGCTGTGCAAGAGTTGAACAGATTTGATGTTCAGACAGATCCAAGTGTGCCTTGATGTAATATAAACCATGTAGCACCCTGCACACTTAACACGTAAGCCGTGAGTAAATACACATTTTAGATACCGTGCATTAGATAAGTTACTCATTTTCCATGTTTCAGCCATTTTGGGAATAAATCTATAAATATAAAATTAGAGTTTTGTCTGTACATTGGTCAGAATTATATATTTTTAGGTTATTTTTACGTTTTATACATTGAAGAATCAGAAACAAGTCTTATTTCTATTTATGTCTGTCTGTCTGTCTGTCTGTCTGTCTTTCTGTCTGTCTGTAACACTCAAGATGGCATTTTACGCAATCTTCTTCATGAAAACGAGAGTACCTATCAAGATACAAGTCATTTTAATGTATTCACTGGATTGGCGAGAGTGTCTTTAGCCGTTAAAACATGGCCTCTCTACTTTGTAAATAAAATTACGGACGTTCAAAAATGCAGTTTTGTGCGATTTTTGTCAAGTTTTCGTTCAATTTTAATCCCATAATCATCTATGAAATAACGAACAGCTGATCGGATCAAGATTATTTTTTCTAGCTGTCACTGATATGTTTACAAATACCGCAATCATTTCCGATCATGTTTTGAAAGCAAATCCCAAACAAAGTGATATTAAAAACGTTTTTCTTACATAACGGATTTAATTAATCGCTAGTGCAATATTATAGTGTAACCGTAAATGAAATTAAATAACCAGGCATCATCCAGGTCAAGAACCAGAGATTCTTTGTGTATAAAATTGTTCTTGAGTTTTGATAACCAGAAAGAAGACCTTGAATCAGTGTTGTATAGGGCTGGGCTGGGAGACTTAATGATCGTCGCCAATAGCTTACAAACAAGGTTTCCACTCATTTACGGCACTTCAATGGCGGTTGTGTAAAGTGTAAAGTAAAAAAATCACAACTGCAGTGGGTGATTGTAATAGAGGTATACGGATGATGCTAATCTCGCTTTTCCAATGTGTCACTTTCTGTTTCTACTCACCGTGTGATGCAATCGCTGGACCATACAGCTAATAGGCCCATAGTCCATCTCTTGGGTACGTACGCCTACCTGTTTATTCATAACAATCTTTTCGATTACGATCCTTGATACCGGTACTTTTTCATGGAATAAATGGCCTACCTACTTAAGAAATAAAGTTACAAATGTCCAAAAACCCAACATTGTGTGATTTTTGTCACATTCAACTGACTACTATAAGATCACCTTGCGTAGAATGGGCACACAGCTAGTTTAATAATAAGTTTAAATAAACACGTATTAGTTTAATTAAGCAACAGACAGATTGTGCCGATGTACAATACTATCATTGATTATTGATACAACGTATGAATCCATACTCAATGATACTATCCTGAGAAAAGTCAGTGGGTTTTTAACATCGATCTCTATTATTACTACAGCTAATAGAGATCGATGTTTTTATGGTTCAAAACTGGACCCAGCTGTTCCTGATCATTGGGCTTTAATTATAAATGGTCCTGGCTAATGAAACAGCTGATCTTAGTCAGTAACAGCTCTACACAGATCATCTCACAACATTCTACACTCATCCCTCACACATATTTGGGGTAAAATACATTGTAGCGTCCCCATCTCAATGATTGATAACTGATATCTCCTTTTGAATAGCCTATATTCATTTCTTTCATAATGTCAGACTGTAAGGACAACTAATTACATTCTGTAACTTTTACGTTCCCATTAGAGTTAGATAGCTTAGTGGCTGTAGTGCTCGCCTGACAAACAAAATGTCGCTGGTTCGATCCTTAGATCTTTCGATTGGTCGAAACTAAACCCAGCTGTGTCTTAATTAAAAATGAGCCTAGTCAAATAAACAGCTGATCTTAGTAAACTCACTCAATTTTACACTCAATTTTTTGCTCCGGCAGTACATATACTAAAATTGGAACGATACAGAGAAGATTAGCATGGCCCCTGCGCAAGGATGACACGCAAAATCGTGAAGCGTTCCACATTTTTAGGCAGACAGTGTAAGATATTTAGGTCTAACTCTTGACAAAAAATTAAATTGGAAATCTCATATCTGGTGCAAGAGACAGCAAATGGAATTAAACCTTCGTAAACTCAATTGGCTACTAGGTACGAATTCAAAATTATCATTGGCTAACAAAATTTTACTGTAAAAAAGTTATGATCAAACCAATTTGGACATACGGAATTCAACTTTGGGGGACCTCGAGCAAATCCAACATCGAAATTCTTGAACGATTTCAGGCTAAGGCACTGAGAAGAATTATTGGCGCACCCTGGTTCGTATCTAACACTACAATTAGGAATGACTTCAAAATTAAATCGGTGAAAGAAGAAATTACAGACCTTAGCAAAAAGTATCAAGAAAAATTAGAATATCATCCGAACAGTCTTGCTGTTAATCTGCTGGACTATAGTCAGTGCATTACCAGATTAAAAAGTGTTGTTCATATGCTGGACCTAAGCTACAGATTTCTATAAATATTTAAATTATTGATCCAATTTTTGGCAAGACTTGTTGATGAACAAGTGCTTGCTTCCTGACATTGTTTTGATAAATGTTTTACTTATTGTTCTCATATTTGTTTGAACAGATTGTAAAATAAATTCTGATAAAAAAAAATTTACACACTCTTCATGTTGAGCTTGAAATACGCACCTATTCAGTGTACGCAACTTGGCAGCGTTTTTGTCTCAAGAGTAATAATAAACAGTCACACTTGAAAACACAAAATAAGTTCACCAGTAGCACAACCTGTGAGAGAATCATTAAACTACGCGTGTGTTCTGTATATAGCCACAGCTGGTCCATATAGGCTTACCTCAGTACCACATAAAGACAATGACACAACGCACAGGTGTCACACATATGTTTACCACAGATGAGTGTGTCAGTTTATGCAGATGTGGAAACTGAAGGTCTAAGCATATTCTACAGATGTACGTGATCGCACATTGGCTCAGTAGAGTATTACACTGTGATATGAATGCATTGTTGAAATGAAAGTTTCTAGACTAGAAGTGTGTTGCGGCGTTGCATTGGTGTTGCTAGCAAGTGTTATAGTAATATTTTTCGTAAGTATTATTTCTATAAATATCTTTAAATAAATATATTTTTAAATAAAATTAAAGAAAAGTGTAAGATTTAATGTTTATGGATTTCTAGAAAATTTATATCTCAGATTTGCAACATATAAGGTCTACTATTTATTATAGGCTAAAATCTAATATTAAAATCTATATAATTAATACGCTACATGAAACTTTGTCGGTTGAACTCCTCCACCATTTCTTAACCGATTTTATCCATTGACGTCTCATTGGAAAGAGCGTGTCGCGTAGATTTGCAAACTGGCCATACATTTTTTTAAAAGTCCCTTGGACTCTGCCCCATTGGCTTTGAAAGTTCCCATGTTATCCTTATAGAGAACACAATTGTTTACATTTTGATCAGCTGTATAATTTAATTGCTGTTATTTATTTTTCAATTCAATGAAACGCATTGAGTACATTTATTTACTGCAGTATTTGAGTTTGTGTAAACATAACCCCCAAGACGGATCGTGTTAGTATGGTTGTATCTCAAATTTGTGCATTTATCGTTGTTTTGTGTAGATATAATGTGTTTAATTGTTGTTTTTTTCTTTTAAATGTCTACGACGTGACGACAACGAAACATAGACAGGAGGCGTAATCGTGATAACGACCGTAGCTACAGAACAGTGGCGCGTAATAGGCTTAACTCATCACAGTCAGCACCTGACCCTGGACAATCTATAAATTAATTTGAAACTGTTTTTCTTTGTGACAGCTATTTTGAGAGAACGGCTGGGTGTAGAAACTCGGTAGAGGTGTCTAAAGAAAGGTCCTGGTCTGTAGATGAGCCATCAAAAGAGAAACATGGAGAATTCCCTCGGGGCTCTGCCCCAGTGGCCTTTAAATTCCCATCCCATGTTATTCTTATGGAGGAAAACGAGGTTTTTGTCACAGCTAATTTGAGAGAACGGCTGGGCGTAGAAACTTGGTAGGGGTGTCTAAAGAAAGGTATTGGTCTGTAGGTGAGCCCTCAAAAGAGAAACGATGTAAATTTCCTTGGGGCTCTGCCCCAGAGGCCTTTTAAAGTTCACTCTGCAATTTTGTTTACATTTCGACCATATGTATAATTTTACACTACTTTTAATGAACCAGCTGTTAATATTAAAATTGTATTCAAAGGTCTACTGAAACTGTCAAAATTAAATGTTTACATTATTATTTATGATTTTAAATGGATTCTCCACTGCATGGCAAGTTTTTTATAGTTTCAACTAAATGATGAATTTATGATACATTTGAAATGTTTTGTTCAAAAATCTATGCTTTATTGCTCTTAGAAAATTTTAAATTATGAAATAAGTGTGACTTATCAATTTCAAAGGAACATATAACTATTCCTTATCGGGTTAGCTTATACATATTGTAAGGTTGGCACTTGCCTTTTTTTCCTACTTTCAATCACCATTTATTTTTAAATTCAAGAAAGAACGCCTGAGATTCATTTATTGGTATAACAGTTTTTGATAATCGGGTTGAAAATTGTGTCATAGATGAGTACGTTGAGGATGAGAGCTGTGTTCAAGTTTTGGAATAGACTAACTACGGAGTGTATGGTTTTGGTAAAGTAGGTGAACTAATGTCAATTCAGGTATTTAAAAAAATGTGTACACAGTTTTTACTTTGATGTACACATGTAGCTAGGTTGAACAACGTATATAAAACCTCACTACATACAAAACATTCGGAAACACAACAGTGTCATCACATCTCATCGCATTTGCATAATTTGTTACCAATGCTGGACTAGGTTATGGATTTGGTTCCGCAAATGTTCAAGATATGTGATAAAATTTCCTACAATTATGGTTCATTCTAATCCACGAAATACATGCACAGCTTTATGTGATCTATATGGCCAAGGCAAAACTACCCCATAAGTTAATGAATTATCAAGTAATAACAGGATGATTAAATACATGGGTCGATGTGGCAAGAGAAGGATTTAAAATTGCTGAGACCGAAGTAAGAATGTTACTGCTTTCTGGAGAATCAGATATTTTTATAAAAAAAAGAAAAAAAAGATGAAGATTTACTTATAAATCCGGATACAATCTGAATGATTTTCCTAAAGCAGATGGAATTAGTGGTTAGTAATAAATGTTGACTCTTTCCGTAACATGATAGACTAATTATATGAACTCATTCTCCCATATAGTGAAAGTGGCTTTGGTATGAAACAAACTCATGAACAAACAATTATAAGACTCCTAAAAAACCTTTTGGGCAACCTAAAGCCGATAAAAAGAAAGATAGGAAATATTGTGTTAAACGAATTCACCAATCACGTTTTTTAGGGAACACAATCGTCATACTTATTATTGCTTATCCTCCCTTCATATAACTAAGATTTAAATGACTTCACTCTATCCAACGCAGTTAGCTGAATTTACATAAAACCTCAAGATTAACCGTCGATTTCGACGGGGTTCCACTAGTTGTAAAGATTTTGAAATCCGATTTTGATGAAATCTGGTACCTACGTTTATTCGAACGAGTTCGCGAACCAGCATAATTGGACTATGGGAACGGGGGTTTATGGGGGGTTTTATGGGGTAAAAATCAATTTTTCCCATTTTGACCCCAAAAACACGAAACTTCATAATATCTCTCCAAACCAAATTATTTTCTACTTTTTAGTGCGTTTAAAAACGCGGAATTTTTAAAAAGTGTTTTTATTTACTTTTTTAGCCAATTTCCATATAGGGAATAATCTATTACCGTAGGTCTCATGGTAAGACCTATACCCGGGACCGATTTACTTTTTCGTTTTAAGGTCACCAGAGGCCAAAAACACAATCCATATAAATAATCCATATATATAAATTCATATATCTATATCTATATCTATATCTATATCTATACTTCTATACTTCTATACTATTATATAAAAATCTAATGGTGTCTGTATGTGTATTACTAATAGGTGCAAAAACTACTTAACCAACTGGGCTTAAATTTTACAAAAATATAGCTACCATACCAAGGACCATTATAGTACTATTCACATTTCGATACTGACCGTAGGCTTTGCCCCTTTGGCTTTAAAAGTTCTGAGGTGAACATTTTAAAAGTAAATATTGATTGGTCTCCATGGCTGTGATGAGAACACTAACAATGTTTGTTTACATTTGCTTTGACATTTAAATATAAACAAGAAGAACTGCTAAACTGCATATTTCACAATTTCAGACAGCTGATACAAAGAAATTAAATATAATATTTTCCATAAATATGAGGTAGGTTTATTTTAAACTAACCTTTTATCATGGATTATTTATTCTAAAACTATGTCATTGATTATAGAAAAAAATATTTTATAACCGTTGCTGTATCAACTCTGGCTCTGCTTTGGATTTTTTAAAGCGTCTTAAGTTAATAATCTTAAGTGAAAATAATGTTATTGATATGTTTTCATGGAAACAGTATGAAAATTACAATGTAGCCTATAGATGTTTTGTATGAATTTGGAGGCTACTTTAAATAAATTCTAACTGCTTCACATGTGTTATATAAATTCAAATTTATTTAAAAAATTGAAATCTTACTACACATTGTAGTCTGCTGTAGAACAAAGAATAATATTACATTAAATTTTGCAAGTTTGTTTAAACCTAATTATGATAATTGTTATATAGGTGGTTTCTTATAATATTAATAGAAAATTTTATGGCTGTTAAAGATATTAGATATAGCACTTGATTTTCTAACTTGAATTTCTTCCAAAATTTCTCAACTTGTTGAGGAATTGTTCCTCTTGATCCAATGAGTAGTCCATATACTTCGAATTTTGATATTTTATATTTCTCTGAATAATATGGGATAGTTTTCTTATAAATATTAACTTTTTCTTCGTGGACTTCCTGTGGCTGATTTTCATTTGTCTCAAGACGAACTGTTGGGTCTATAATGAGACCGAAATCTTTCTCCTTGTCTATAACAATGATGTCACTCCGCCTCACAGAGCCCTCTTCTTCTATAGCCGTGACCTCTTCATAGACCTCGTAACTTTTCTTTCTGAATAGATCAGCTATGATTTTTCTGATGGTATGGTGGCGGGTATTTCGTAGAAGACTACTAAATGGGCACTTTCCAAGGACGTGGGCAAGAGTTTCAAGAATAAATTTCTCAGATACAGGACAATGCCTGCACTGGTTCCCGTCCCTGGATCTCCCATGAAGACTTCTAAGAGGAATAACGTCTCCGACCATTTTCAAGTATTGTTTGAACTCAGCTTCTGTGAGGCCACAACCTCTAGCCAAATTTTTATTGATCTTGTTACATTCTTTGAAAAGAACCACCCCATTCCCTTTGTATGGAAGTTTACACCAATTTTGATACTCTAAGTCTCGTAAGGTTTCTCGCAGTATCTTGGGTTTTGATTCGATAAATTCAATACTTAAATTCAATTTTTCCAGACAAAACCTAATTTCTTCGTCAAATTGACGAATATTAAGTAAGTAGGGGTTTCCCGTTTGTTTTAATACGCGACATATGTTTATATGTTGGATTGATGATTCCCACATTGATTTACATAACCCAATCCCTTTGTTTTTAGTACTTGTATAAAACATAGAATTTGGCATATCATTTGGAAGATCTAAGATTTCCTTTGTTGTTGATCTTATCACTTTATCAACATCGTCAAAGAATTTCATTGTAATTTTCTTAATTGGTGCGGTTTGAAAAGGATATATTAAAGATGGCCAAATATTATGATTCAATACATACATTTTTTGTTCAGACCTTAAAAAAGGAGAACATGTTAATTTTTCAATTTTGTTTATCAATGAACTAATTGTTTTTTCGGAGTCAAATACTATGCTTTCAGAAAAATTTACTCCTAAGTATTTAATTTTTTCATTAAATGTTATAGATTTTATTTCTTTTGAACATATTTGGAAGTTTTCCTCTTGTAATCTACCTTTTTCAATGTTAATAATTTTAGTTTTTGATATATTTATAGTTAATCCAATTTCTCT